CTGTCTCCCTCCCAGGTAGTTAGAGTAAAGAATGCGTTGGGAAACACTTTGTGAACCACACCACTTTAGACAAATCTAATAAAATGTCCATGGTTTGTTGGACATAACATGGAACTGGAGTCAAAAGACTTGAATTCTCACCCAGATTTTGCTAGCATTTGGTTGTATGATATTGGTCAACGCATTTACCTCTTTTGGGATTCAGATTTCTTGAGAGAAACAAGCCAAAATGCTGTTACAATCCATCATAATTTTTGTTCCTGAATTAAGTTGTTTCATAGGGAAATGGAGCTCAACATGTGCTTACCGGGGATCATAAGAATTTGCAGGAAGAAGAAACATTCTACTAGCACGGAATACACACATCAGTAAAACAGAGAAGCCAGCGCTGCATTTCAGAGTTGAAGTAGCTTATGTTTAATTCTCAGCATCCTAGTTTTGAAATAGCAGACCAGAAGCTACACCTCACTTATGAAGAACTTTGATCTGGAGAGCTTAAGTAGTTTCATGAAGGTCCCACACTCAGTTACAGGCGGAGGTAAGACATCTAGATCTTTGACAGATTGATGCATTCTCTGCTAACTTAATTCCCTGCCTTTCAATCACTGCAGTGTACCAGGAGTTTAAAAGGAGCACAGAGTTGAAATAGCACTGTAGTATTAACTAAGGACAGTTGTTCTTAAAGGTGCTATAAAACTTTTCCTCCTGAAAATTTTAAGAGTTTGAAGTACTTTATCTTGGATATGTTAGACTTTGTAGATAAACTATATCTTGATATTCCTCTAATTAAAGAATTTCTAATTCTTCCTGTCTTCCACCTTCTTTCACTTCAAGTATTGATGAGGAACAGCACACCCAGATTTTAGCATAATTCCTTCCAGTAGGACAGAGATTCTGGGTTATTGTGGAGATGCCTACAACCCAGTCTTATTGAAATGGACAGACACACCCTTTATCTCACATTAGAAGTTATAATACAAAGTTTTCATAAAGTACATAAACTATGCTACGGGCATGTGTTTTATCTTTGTTCTTGCCCTGATCCTGGAGGAAAGAGATTAATCAGAAGTAAGGGGTATGATATGGCTCTCTGAAATTAGCAGTGGCTAGAAACGGTTATCATCCCTAAACTTGAACGAAAGACAGGGTAAAAAGTAGCTGATAGAGTTCACGAGGCCTGGACCTATGACAAGGACCTTTAATCAGACCTACACCCTTTAATAGAAAACCTAACAGGGAGGCAGTCAGGGAAACTAATATCCCCCCTGTGTGCTACTCTTTATTTTCACCTCCCACTGGAGATGCCCCGTGGTTGAGCTCAACAGGAGACTGCAGAGGAGGAAGAACTGATAGCACAGTCTTCAGAAGTCAGCTTGCTGAGGCACAGAACAAAATGAAAGATGAGGCAGGGTACGGCGGGCAAGTGGAGCACACTCAAAAAGGAGCTGCATCTGTTTGTATGTGATTTTATCAGACAAAGGGAATTATCTTGAACCATAAAGTCAATTGCCATTCTTCCTTTTGGTATATGTTTAGAAAATATAGTTAATAAAGTCCACCTTTAAGCAAAGAAAGCATACAAGTCACACTAAATATGTAATTCATACAAGAAACACTTCTTATGGTGAACAATATTTAAGAGTCTGATGTTTCTACTGAGGTGACTGAGAAAAATAATACAAAACATTTTACAAGGGGATTAGATTGTAATGGTGTTTATATTTATTTTATTTTTAGATTACAGTTATTGCAGCTCCTCAAACTTTAACCTTGGTTTATTTTTATCATTCTAATTGCTTTATTTTATGAAAAGATATTTTAAAAGGTTTTAATCTGTCACAAAATTTTGTTAACCTGTCACTTGGTTATAAAATTCATTTTGCAAACTAGATACCAATTCTAAAGCCAAAGAATGCAAAAGGGCTTCAGTTATATCCCAAGCAGTAAGTTCGCAAAGATTTACCTACTGGATGTTGAATTTTAGGTTACTTTTAGTATTTACCTAATTAAACAAACCAACAAACAAAACTCATTTGTGAACAGTTTCTGTTAATAACAAAGTGGTAACTAACTCATGGATTTATTTATTGATCTTGACTAATTTCATCCATGCTTTGACAGTTTTGTTAAAATTGTTACTAATCAAATGACAATATCCATGATTTCTCTTGTTTTCTATATTTAGCAGTTTCATCAAAAGACAAATCCATTAATCAACATAGTTTTACTATATTCTTGATTTTCAGAAATTTTTGGCAAAGATTACCATAATTATTATTAGGTCACAGCACAATTAAATGCCTAGTATGCATAAGCCTGTGGGTTCAATCCCAAGGACTGAAGGAAAAAAAGAAATATAATAATTTGTCAGTATGTTGAAATAGAAAGAAAAAGATGGTGAAATGTCAATTTGAACTGTGAGAATGATAAACATACACCTTAGAAATGTGTATTAAAACTAACTTTTTAGAGGGTATTAATTGACAGCGATTAATGACATTGACATGTTATTTATTCTATTCCTTCATAAAAAGAAATTCATGAGTTAAGGTTACTTGGTGTTAAAAAATATCAAGATATCCTGCTGTTTCTTTTAAGGCAAATTGCTTTCACGATTTCTTTCTAAACACAAGGTCAGGAAAGACAAATTTATGTATATAGATGACTATGATTATGGAATGATTAAATTTGGTCTTTCTTAAAATAGATTTTGTAAACTGAGAGCTACCAGAGTTGTCTGCTTAGAAAAACCAAATGAAATCCATTCACTCATTGAGCATTGGAGAGAATATTGTTTATTACCGGCTTTGACAATCTATAATATAAAATAAATTTCTTAGAGTGCAGTCTCCTTCAGTTGCTCATTTATTCACTGAGGGAAAATAGTGATAAATCATTCTTTAAACTATGGGACCAAGCAGTTAAAATATTTGAGGAAGGTATATCTAATAGGAAGCTATAAGCACAATAGTAAAATAAATGAAAATCATAGACATATCTTATTCATTTTTGTATTTGCAATGCCTTAGGCACAGCTTAGTAAAAATATCTCTCTCCTCTTTAAATTATCTGACAGTGAATCATCCATTACAAATGAGAAGTGCGTATTCTAGCTTTAAACAATTTATTATGCAAATACATATTTCCTGACCATCCTGAACAACAATCTCTCAGCTTTGCACACGTTCCTGTCCCTTCCTACAACTGATGCTCACCATGTTTGAAGTTCAGGGCATTCTATGAAAACTTAAAGCTATTTAAAATCACAACTACTGTTTATAATGTTATAATATATTTTAAAAATGAGATGTCATCTAGTCCAAAACAAACAGGTTGTCAGTGCAACATGTAAAGCAATTTCCTTACTTATTTATACAATTCTCTCACCAATCACTAGAAATCTCCCTAGAGCAAGGTGAGCAGGGTTGAAGTATGGGGTGCTAGTCAGCGATAGAGTTTTTCCTATAGCTGCTGTGGACCCAAGCACCTACTTTAGGAAGGATGCTTGCAAAGGAAAGGTTGTAAGGGCAATAGTGCCTCACAGTTATGTTCTTAGAAATATTACTTCAAATGATTCTTAGTGGACTAGGTGATTTGAGGCTGGAAAAACATTGAGAACTAGAAAATGATTTTTTGTTTGTTTCTTTCTTTCAACCCGCCTCCAACTCAATCTAGCCTTCAAGACATCCAAGAAAATAAACTCTAGAACAATTCATTTGTGCTGAAAATTTGTTTGTGGCAGATAGCAAGGCAGGAATTAGATCACTGTTCACATTTCCCATTTCAAGGTGGAAGTCCAAAAATAAGTCTTTGTCTCTCTCTCTCTTTCTCTCTTTCCTCCTGTCTCCACCATTCCATTTACCTTTCTGCCCCACTTTTCCATTTTTGCTTTCCACACAGCCCACTAGAAACTTCCCAGGAAGAGAAACAGTGCGCATAGCCCACATCAGTGCTCTACATGGTGGCAGATACACCAAGAAAACAGATCACACGTCTTTCATAATCCGCTAGGCAATGCTACAGTCACTAAGTCCTGTCCAGAGCCATCCGACTCCACTTCTAGTATGAGGCTCCAATACCCACAGGTGGCAAATGTCAAGTTAACCCCTTTCTAGCCCTGCCATTTTCAACGCTCAAACAAGCTCTCTCATTAGTCTTATAAAATAAAGTATGAAATTCCGACATCACATCTCATGCTGTTAAATTAACAACATCACACTGCGACATAGGACTTGAATATCTCCCATAGCTTTATGACTGGAACGACACTGTTCAGATTTCATTTACCAGTTTAAAAATAGCAAACTAATTTGAAACATTCTCTCTCCCTCCCTCCCTCCCTCTCTCTCTTTCTCTCTCTCTCTCTCTCCATGTATCTGTCTCTTTATCGCTTACACATACACATAAATACAAAATTCTGTACTCTCACTAACATTCTATCTCAGTGTTGGGCAAATATTTCTTCCTAAAAATACAAATAACACTCAGTAAAATGACAGGTTTTGTGACTATGTATATTATGAAACAAATTCAAAAGTAAAATACTCCTTAGAGCTAAAATGACAAACTGCAACCTATTTTATGGAACAATGGTCATTTATGTACTTTTAATATATACACCCAAATTATTCAGTGTTATTTTTGATTTGAAGATTATCCACAGATTATTTTGTCTCTGCCCAATGAAATTTCTTCTTCTTGAGTGGGTGGGTTTGGAGCAAGGCAAGTAACCTATTTCAAACATCTTAAAATAGAGTGATCACTCTTAAAAGTGGTTGTCTTCAAATTTTGTTACTTTGTAGATCCAGAGCTAAACTAAAAAAGCAAATTAGAAAAGTTGCCCACAGACCAATTTAAGTCCACATAAAAATCCAAGCCGGTATCCCTGAGCTCCCTTGCTAAAGGAGCAGGGATCTCTTCTGGAACACTGCAGAGACACTCATAACACACAAGGCACTCCAATTAAAATTTGACAGAAGTTATGTCACATTGAGACTCACCGCTGGATGTAAGGGTCAGGGCAGTACTGTAGTGTGGCACACCGTGACGTTTCAAAATTCATTTCCTCCGACTCTCTTTGGTATCAACAAATGGAGAGCGATTGTATAAAATATACACATATACCTGTGTATATGTAGATATATAGCCAGAAAGCTAAAAGCAATAATGTCAAATGCCATCAGACATAGAAGTTTAGACACTTCCCCCTTCCCACATATTTGCAAAGAGGCGGAGCATTTCTTCTTTTCAGCCAATGACATTCATCAGGTGACCAAAACATCATAAACAGTTGATTCTTACCAGCTGGGCATCCTCTCTAAAGTTGTTCCTCCCTCTCCACCCCTGCTTTAGAGTCCTGGGCATATAGTACCCACACTTGTTGCTGGCAGTTGGGAAGCATCTCTGAACTTCTGGTCTTGCTCGTGATTGGATGTTGGCATGAGTGGCATCAGAGTTTAATTTCAGCAGCCGGGACTTTTGTCACAGAACTGTGCTGATGAGTGTCCACCTCGTCCCAGCTACAGAACATTTCCTTGTACCTGGGTACTGATTTGATTTGAGCACTTCTGTGACTGCTTCAGGGGCTGAAATGTTGTGCTGTATGCAGAGCTGCTTAGAGCAGGGTTTTTTCATCTCTTCCCTTCCCCTCCCCCTCCAGCCCTCCTTTCAGCCAACCGCCTGTTGTGGTCACAATCTCAAATAGCAAAGACAGGGAAATTCCTTGATTATATTTAACCTAGAACTCACTCTTCGTCTCAAATAAGAGAGATATCTATTCACATCTCCTTAGAAATTCTGTCTGCCCCAAACCAAGGAAAAGAACCTTTGTTGACTTGTCAAAATATCCTTCCTCAGACACATCCACATAAACATTTGTTATAATTTCCTTAAAGGGATGTGAAAGTAGGAAATCATATACTCTTTTAGAAAATTTTAAAGCTTATATAATTATTCCAAAAGTCCTGTTTTTATAAACGTGCTAATTCATTTCACTTTCTATCAGTTTGTCTTACTCTCTTTTGTCTCATTTTTTTCTCTTTTTGCTTTGACTTGATTTCCTTTCAGATAAAATTATAACAGTGCTCATACATTCAGAAATTCACATGATAACAATGAAAGTTTGCATACGGGGTGACTTCTTTCATTTTTGAATTTTCTTTCCTTTTTGAAATTACCCTGGTTCTGTGGATTTGGAAATTGAATGAAATATGATTCAGAAGCTAAATTAGAATAGACTTCAACAGGAAATAAAAAAAACAAAACAACAACCATGTGCCCAAGTGTCACTAACATGCCAAGTTCACATTTTCTATTTGTCTCTAATCACAAAACATCTGCAAGTAGATGGCAAAGTCGTGAGACAATCTAAAATTCTTTTCTGATAAATCTGACATTTCCCTGCAAGAAATTCTGGTTCAAAATGTGTCTCATAAAGATGTTTTATTTGTTGCTTCAGCAAGGAGAGAAGGGAGAAGCTATTTAAAACTTGACATTCTCTTCCTTTACTTAGCCCGAGAGTGTCTAACATCTGTGAATTGTGAAATTCACAAACATGCTGGCCTGAGCCCCAGCCAAATCAAACAGCTTGTTCTACAAAATGTGAAACTTGAAGAGAAGATCATTTGGCTAATTAATTACATATTTGTTAATTGGAGTGAACGTCCTTGGCTCTCTTCCCTGCTATTGGCAGATAAGGATGACCTAAATACAGAGTTCTTCAATGGAAAATAATCAATTTCCTGCAATCGTGACAAATAATTCCCTCACACAGGACATCGATATTCTCATTTATACAGTGAATTGAATGATGATTTCAAGAGCAGGGATTCTCAAGTTTTAATAGCTGTCAGTCCTCTGGAAAGGCAGGTTCTGGCTCAGGAGCACTCGGCTGAAGCCTGAGACTCTGCATTTCCAGAACATCCCTGGGTTGTTCCCCTTGGCTGGCCTTTGTACCACTCTTGGGAGGAGCAAGGTCTTGCACTCATTCTGGGTCTTATTTACAATTCAGTGGTTCTAGGTAATAAAGAAGAGCTCTTATATTTTAAATTTCCATCCAAGGCTATAGGCTTTCAGTGGATTTGCAACCATTCTTGGTGTATGTATGACTTTTTTTTTCTTTAATTTTAGAAGGTCTGGAAGATTTAGCACATACCCATTCACAACCTGGGAAAATAAGTGACAATTATACTATAATTACTATAACTGCCTCATATTTATATTACACCCTTTTCCCCCAGGAGACTCAAATTACTGCACAAATGTATAAATTATTTCTTTGGTATGACAGGTAGACACTTTTCAGAGGCTTTAAGTCTTTTAGGTAAAGATTGCAGTAGAATAAATTAAACAGAAGCCTAGGAGAAGGTAATTGCCTTCCTGGCCTGCCTGTTTGAATGATGTTTGTGAGCACATTTGATTTATATGAAGAGCAGGAGGAAGGGCTTAATGAGGTAGCGGTGTTTAAGGTCCAGAACAATGGACACAAGGTAAGAGAAAAGAACACTTTTCCTTTTTCAACTTGTAACAGCCAAGAATGTGCGCTCTGCCACATTCAGGCATTCGTAAGGAAACACTTCTCACTTATATCCATGGAATTTATTTCACAACTCTTCTTTTTCATGCCCGCTCTCCTGTAGGTTGCATACTTCTCTGGTTGCCCTCTGGTCTTAGATCATATGTTGCTTTACCAGGGATGTTTTTCAACCTGATCTGCATATGCTTCAAAACCCAAAAAGCTTCCCCTGCCCCTTCAGATAAAAGGAACCTGCTCTACCTCTAACTTCCTAAATCATCATACTATATCTGCATTTCTTTACGTAGAGACGTCTACAGCTTTCCTGCTTTACCCTAGCTAGTTTCTGTTCCAGACTATGAAAAATCTGAGGCCAGACTGGCTATCAGATTCACTTTGCATCTTTAGAGACAAGGAAATATTGTACAATGAGTTCATATGTTTGTATCTTTGCAAAAATCACCCCATGATAAATATTGTAACTGATTAAAATAATTTCTATAAAACACTTGATGACTTTTTAGAATTAGCTTTATGATGTATAACTTTTATATAATGAAATTCACCAATCATAAGTGTTGAGTTTGAGGCAACTTTTTTTGTTTGTTTGTTTATTTTTTTTCCAGTCCCAGGAATCGAACTCATGACCTTGCGCCCGCCAGGCAGACGCTGTGCCACTGAGCTAAATCCCCAGCCCCGGGTTTGAGGCATTTTGACACACTGTGTACCATGTATTCTCTATTGTAATCAAGCATGAAACTTTTCTATTACCCCAAATTCCTCAAAGCTTTTTGCCATCCCACCCTCACTGCTGTCCTCAGGCAATCACTGTCTTGCTTTTCACCATTGGAAATTAAATATATACTTTTTGTAGAGTGTTATCTAATAGAACTTTCTATGAAGAAGAAAATATTTTACCTTTGCCTAGTTTTTGGTTTCTTTTTGGAACTAAGGATTGAACCAAGGGCCTTTGCACTGAGCTCCACTCCCAGACTCTTTTAATTTTTATTTATTTATGTCGTTTTGAGACAGAGTCTTGATGAGTCACTAAATTGCCCAGGCTGCTAATCCTCCTACCTTAGCCTCCCAGACTGCTGGGATTACAAGTGTGGCCCACCAAGCCCAATTTAAAAATTTGCACTTTCTGTCATAGTTGCCTGTAATTACATGAAGCAACTATGATTGACTAGTTAAATTTTTATTTTTATTCACTTTTAATCAATCTAAATTTGAGTCGCCACTTTGTGATGTCCATTGAACATCATAAAGCTAGAATATCACATAAATGGAGGCCCACAGTACATTTTCTTTTGTGCCTATGTTCTTTTCGCACACTGATTCTATTGTTTTGAGACATTGCTGTATTGTTAACTGTATCAGCAACCTGGTGTTTCTGTAAATTAAATGTTGATCATGTGATTTTTATGTATAATTTGCATATAGTGAGTGGTGTTTGTTTTTTGACAATTAAGAATAAGTTATATTCTTAGATATACAACTGTGGCTAAAACTAGAGTCCAATAGGATTTTTAAATCTCAGTGGTAGTAGAACCCAGAATTTGTTCTTGGTCCGATTGAGTTATCTGGAAATGTAGTAGTTCCTTCCCTCCAAGCATGCTATCACTTTAAAGAAGGTAGGCTATGTTATTATGGACTGTAAAGAAGTTGGCTAATCTGGGTTTGCCTGAGTTCTGATTCTCACTTACCTTCAGACCCTAACCAAGTACTCTACTCTCTTTGAGAATTAGATTCTTTATTTTTAAAGAGTAAAGATATACCAGTTAGGATGTATCAGTTAGGATATGTTCCATATAAGCAATAGAAAATAACTCTGTTTTGTTAAAACCCACACTGTGAAAATGGGTAGAAAGACACATCAAAATTCAGAGTGGAGGAGAAAGTTGGGAAGTGGAAGCTGGGTTTTATAAAGGTTGGGAACCAAGATTGTTTTAGAGACCTAATTAATAATAACAAACACAGATTCAGTTGACAGTGCCAATTTAGACATAAATCACTTCTCACAGATTGTTTGAACTTGAGTCATTAAGCTTCAGATTCAAGTTCCTAGAAGGGAGATGCCATGTTGGGTCAGGAAGACTCTGAACACCTTGACTGATACCCTCACCTCGACTACAGAAAGAGCGTTCAAAGGAAAATAGAAATTCTGTGAACCGACACAGAGGGAGTAGGTACGGGGCAATGGGGTGCCACAGATGCCACCATGAAAGGTTTAAAGCATTTGACCTTGCATGTTCTCTAGAGCTCTGCCAGGCTGTGTGTGTGAGCATAGCAGTGTCAGAGAAGCCAGATTCCTTCATATCACATGGATGAACCTCAGGGTCTTCCCTCGCTAGGTCATCACTTTTTTTTAATAGAAGAATTAGGAAAGAAACTTTTAGCATATAAATTGGTGGTGTAAATACATGAAATGTCCTCTAAAGTGAAAGGACTGCAGAGTTTGATAATCTTTAGTTGTGTAGTACTTTTCTGTCCATAACCTTAGCTCTACCAATCTCTGTTTCACACAGCAGGAAGCCAAAGCTTGGCTTTGGAGAGTGGCCGGGGTGTGGGGAGGTCCAACTAATTCTTCCAATTTTGTGCTCTATAAATCTAATATTTCCTCCATCTGAAAAATAAGAGGAAGAAAGCTGGATCTAGAAATTAAGTGTACTGGAAGGCGGCCAACTTTTTTGAAAAAGCAAATACATCACAAGCTTAGCCATGTTCTTCATTGATTTAACCTCTACATTTTTACAGGTCCTGGAATTCATTAAAGAGAAAACTGT